GGAATTGCTAGGTTCATGCATCAGGCTCATCCATTATATGTATTTAATGTTAGAGTTATTTAATTGATTTAATTGTATAATAGAATTTTATTTATGTTTGATGGATATTTAGTATGTATTGGGTTTAGATGCTTTGATGATTTATTGGTGGATACAAATTATTGAAGTCTTATGGATCAATTGCTTTAAAATTATTTCATAAATTTTATTCAGCTCCCACCCTACCATTTGTTTCTTGTGATTTTCTTCCAGGCCTGGTGGCGAGGTGTGACATATATTTTATTATTATTGTATTTTAGCACACACTTCTAAGCGCCTTCATGACTTAACTTACAAGGGTGAGATGTTGTATGCTTAGAACTCTAGAAAATATGAAAATTTTATGGGATGACTATGATCCCCCAAAAAGTGGGAATTGATTTTTTTTAAGTTTTATTTAATTTTAAAATTTTAATACAAAATAAAAGTGAGTTTTACAAATATTGACTTGCTCATACTATTTAGTGATTTGCAGGAATGTAGTAAAACTAAGGAAAATAAATGCAAATATATATATATATATATAATAGATTGTATGCAAAACCATTTTTACATTATTTAGCTGCCAACAAGGCCTACATTCACATCAAGATATGACATGAGATAGGATTTTACTAATTTAAGTTTGCCTCACCAATCTCACTTCTTCATAATGAACATGTAGAATACAATCAATGTACTCTATTGCATATGCAATTGCAACCTAATCTAGGGTATAATACTAGATTTGCAAGAAGCTAATTATAAGCAAAGAAAAAAAAAACTTAATACTAACGATGTAGGATCTTAATATTTCGCAAAATGAGAAAACAAAAATGTAAAATCTATCCTTTAGAAGCAACATGATAGAACGTCCCTACATTTAATTAACATGTTTGTTGGCCTCATTTTTGAATGAGTTTAACAAGATTTTTTTTTGTCAAGATTGATTTGACACTATCTTTGCCTTGGTGTAGAGCCAACTATGCTTGGGGGCTCCTAGGTAGAGATCCCTTTAGATTTTGCTTAGCTAAATCCTAAACATCCTAAACATTGAACCACGCCTAACTTAACCTTAAGAATGTTGAACACATTTTAAAATAAATTTGACAACATCCATAAGTGCTTAGCCTTAGTTATTAGGATGCCTCTCTTAATATAGGGTCTTCCTCATAGGTGATTTTCTAAGGACTTAACGTTGAACAGTCATAACAACCCCTAGGAAACCCTCTACCCTATTTTTGACCCTTGAGTCCTCTTAAGCTAGGTTAATCTTACATTATCTTATGTGGTATTTAGGACCCTTGAGAGCTCATCGTAGATCTTTCTAAATCCATTTAAAACCTTCTCAACCTGTTACAAACCCATTTGTAATAGGTTGAAGGAAAACCCAAAAGGAACCCTAGATAGGCTCACGGGTTAATTGGACCATTCATGATCCAAATAACATTGAACTTATCTAGAAGCCACCCAATAATCCTATGACACTTCCAAGTCACCTTAGACAAGTAGTTGACTTCCTTAGGACAATCTTAGGTTAACCCTAAATTAAATAAAAAAAATCTAAAAAATAAACAAAAGATCCTCAAGCATATGTGTCCCATAAGCCTAGGATCTATTGATTTGCTCTTAGACCCCCGACCCCCCCTCCCCAAGGTTAAAGAGACTTGGTCAACCCCTTTGAACTATGTTTAAAATAGGTTAGACCATAGTCATATCTTAACCCTAAATTCTCTAAAGTCAAATATAACCATTTAATTTAAACCCAATGGCTTGGTATTGAGTCTAAGTAATCTTAACCCATTTTAAAAACATCTTGACTCATGCTTGACCCATGGTCAAGTCCCATTGACTATGATGAACTTCAATATGCAATTGCAACCTAATCTAAGGTATAATGTTAGATTTGCAACAAGCTAATAATAAGCAAAGAAAAAAAACTTAGTACTAACGATGTAGGATCTTAATATTTTTCAAAATGAGAGAAAAAAAATGTAAAATCTATCTTTTAGAAGCAACATGATAGAACGCCCGTACAATTAATTAACATGTTTGTTTACCTCATTTTTGAATGAGTTTAACAAAAATTTTTTTTTGACAAGATTGATTTGACACTGTCTTTGCCTTGGTGTTGAGCCAACCATGCTTAGTGGCTCCTAGGTAGAGATCCCTTTGGATTTTGCTTAGCTAAATCCTAAACATCTTAAACATTGAACCACACCTAACTTAACCTTAAGAATGTTGAACTCATTTTAAAATAAGTTTGACAACATTCATAAGTGCTTAGCCTTAGTCATTAGGATGCCTCTCTTAATATAGGGCCTTCATCATAGGACCCTTATAGGTGATTTTCTAATGACTTAGCGTTGAACAGTCATAACAACCCCTAGAAAACCCTCTACCCTATTTTTGACCCTTGAGACCTCTTAAGCTAGGTTAATCTTACATTATCTTATGTGGTATTCAGGACCCTTGAGAGCTCATCATAGACCTTCCTAAATCCATTTAAAACTTTCTCAACCTGTTACAAACCCATTTGTAATAGGTTGAAGGAAAACCCAAAAGGAACCCTAGATAGGCTCATGGGTTAATTGGACCATTCATGATCCAAATAACATTGAACTTATCTTGAAGCCGCCCAATAATCCTACGACACTTCCAAGTTAGCTTGGACAAGTAGTTGACTTCCTTAAGGACAATCTTAGGTTAACCCTAAATTAAATCATAAAAATCTTAAAAAAAAACAAAAGATCATCAACCCTATGTGTCCCATAAGCCTGGGATCTATTGACTTGCTCTTGGAACCCCCCCCCCCCCCCCCCCCCCCCCCCCCCCCCCCCCCCCCCCACTTGGTCAACCCCTTTGAACTATGTTTAAAATAGGTTAGACCATAGTCATATCTTAACCCTAAATTCTCTAAAGTCAAATATAACCATTTAATTTAAACCCAATGGCTTGGTATTGAGTCTAAGTAATCTTAACCCATTTTAAAAACATCTTGACTCATGCTTGACCCATGGTCAAGTCCCATTGACTATGATGAACTTCAACTTTGACCAAAACTTAAAAAAAAAAAAAAACCTCAAATTAAATTTAAATATCTAAATTCCAACCTAGTGACCTTATCATTGAGTCCAAATGACCATAACCCATTTTAAGAACAATTATGCCTATGCTTAAGCCATGACTAACCACCCTTAATCAAGGTAACCTAATTTGGCCAAAGGGGTTAAGTGACCTTCTTCGCAGGCACTCAGGTAAAACCCAGGGAAATTATCTAAAAACTTCTCTAACCTAATTAATTATTGGCTTATAAAGTGACATGTGAATTAGGGGTTTTGATTTTTTTTAATTATTGATAATTGTAAATGGTGAAAATTGTTAGTTTCAAAGAAGCAAGTGATATATCATCAAGCCTTGGATGACTAGATAATATTGAATAAAATGTCCTGAATCATAAAACTTATATAATTTATTAAATTTATAAAACTCTCTGTAATTTATCCCTTTTGACCTCGTAAAATATTTAACTAGACCTAGATCTTATGGGATAGGATCCCATGTGATAATGCTACCTCTTGTGGGCTATATTGAAAGATTTTTCCAAAGCAACTTTATTGGTGTAGGCTTTCAATAAGAACTTTGTCGTGGTCGTTTTCTTAGCATTGATAACATGATGACAAATTTTTGCTTCATTTAGTCATTACCCTCCAAAGAAAAAATCTTACTTCAAACTTTTAATTCTAATTATTTATTTATTCTTAAGAAAAACTATAAAAGTACACAAAATTAATCCATATTGTAAAATATTATTTATTTTTATTCAAAGATACATTTCTTTAACACTTAAATCTTATTTATTTACAAAACTAATTTTTTTTATCATTCATCAATTTATATCATCAAAATTTACAACTAAATTATCAATTTTTATTCTCATATTTTATTAAATTCAAAATAATTTGGGATTTACTCATGTAAATACATTAATTTGTTTGGTGAAAATTTTAATTTAAATGTCTATGAATATGTAAATATATTAATTTTGGTGATATGGATGTCAATAAGGTAAAACTTTGGGCATCTTTTTGATAATTCAAATAGAAGAAATGGGCAAGTTTTTTGCATTCTCATTAGCTAAATTAAAATTGGAAAATTAATAATTTGGGATTTAGTCATGCAAATACATTAATTTGTTTGGTGAAAATTTTAATTTAAATGTCTATGAATATGTAAATATATTAATTTTGGTGATATGGATGTCAATAAGGTAAAACTTTGGGCATCTTTTTGATAATTCAAATAGAAGAAATGGGCAAGTTTTTTGCATTCTCATTAGCTAAATTAAAATTGGAAAATTAACCATTCCTAATAACTTTTGCAATGGACATCATTCACAAAGAATATAAGGATATATTTTCCAATCTTCCAATAATACATTTGTTAATTTTTTCACAAAATAAAGCATTAATTTCCATCTTCCTCTCCACAAAAAAACTAAAATAAAATAAATAAAATTTAAACTAGTGCTCTAATTCACAAACTTTTATAGAAAAGAACACTAATAAGAAATGGAGAATTTTGAGGAAAAAAATTATTTTGTAATAATTTGTTATAAATTATATCAAAATGTGCTTAAATATCATTAAATTTGCTTTAAAATTAGTGCAATATAAAAATTTTATATACAACACTAATTTTAAAATAAATTTAATGATATTTAAATTCATTTATTTAATTTATATCAGAATATTCTGATATAATTAGGTTTTTTAGAATTTTGATTGATTAATATTTTTTTTTCTGGATCCAATTATTTTGATCAGTTTGTTGGGAGTTTTAACTATTATTCAAAAAAATTGATATTGGAGTCCTATGTGTGTGTGAGAGATTGGCCTAAATGTCCCAAGAAATTTTTTTTTTTTCCTCACCCTAAATCTCAACCGACCTCTGATTCAGTGCGACTAGTTTTTTAGAATTTAGATTGATTAATATTTTTGTTTTGTTTTGCTCATTTTGATCATTTGGTTGAGAGCTTTGATTATTATCCTGTAGATCTGAAATTAGAGTCTTATGTGCGTGTGAGATTGGCCTAAATGTCCTAAGATTTTTTTTTTTATCCTCACCCTAAATCTCAACCGACCTCTGATTCAGTGCGACGTATCTCCACCTCTCCTTCTCCACAAAATCAGCATCCAAGAACTTAGCAACAAAGACCCAAAACAAGTAAGCATCTTCAAAATTAACGAGAAAGCCAAGTGAGGCACTTACAACAGCAATCCCCACATCACTGCTTTCCTTCTTTCTATTACCTGAAGCAACGATCCCAAGAACTCTTTTTTCCAATATCTTATGCTTGTCTTGTTCATATTTATGATCTGAGAACCATATGTTTTGCAGAAACCCGCAGTTTAATGAAATGTTGCTTCTGTCAGCTAGTTTCTGAACAAGCGCAGGCTCTACCTTTTCTCCTTTCCAATCGTACACATTGAATGCTATTGCAGATCCTCTGTCGAACTTCACCTGTGGCCCATAAATCCTCACCAAGCTATGGCCATTGCTCGAGTGAGGATGCCTCAGCTTCTTCAAGGCAATTACTAACCAGTTCGTTATGCATCTGAGCCTAGTTTGTATTGCTGGCAGACCAAGTGAATCAGCATGATTCAGGCCTCGGAGCTCAATCTCCACTTCTTGATCGAGTTCTTCCTCCTCCTCCACATTGTCATGTACTGTCGCTCTGATATCTTCTTCTACAATTTCGGACTGCGGTTCTCTCTTCTGAGACGCCTCACCTTCCTCATAGTTCTTCCCTGCCTTCTGTGTTGAGCTCAAGGGACCGGAAAAAGATCTGGTTTCCATCTCTTCCTCCCCGGACTGTGACTGAGTGCTTCTTGTTCGAACAATGCTGACGACACCAATGCTTCTCGCGAGCACGGAGGTCTCGAGGACTTGGTGGCTCGATTTCTTGATGAAGAGTCCGGCGAACCCAGATGGATTTTCGCCGAACACTTTGTAGAAGGAGCAGATGATGAAATCCGGCTGGATAAGAGCCATGCCCATGGTATCCATGTCCTTTGGACCCAATGTACAGGCGTCAAGCACCACATGCCATCCCTTCTCCTGCGCCATTTTCATCCATAGATAAGGGTACCTAACCCCAGTCAACCTGGACATGAGCGGAAACACAAATAAACCCTTCTTCTTGCTTCTACTTCCCAGCATCTTCTTCAGTTTTCTGGTATGGATGCTGAGACCAGGCCATGAAAAAGTTGCCGACTTCACCTTCGCTCCCCTATTCAGCGCGCATTCCACCATTGGCTTGATTGCTTCGCTCTCATAATCGTAGACGGTAAGGAGACGCCTATTGGATTGGAAAGGGTAAGTCTCTGCAAGCAATCTGAAAGCCGTGGTTCTGTTTGCTGTGCAGATCATGACATAATCATCTGGTGAGATCTTTAGGAAGCTCATGATGTGTTTTTTGATATATGATTCGAAGCCTGTGTCTTGTTCCCCATACTGCACTTCGAACTTGAGACTCGCGGATTTGTACGAGATGTTGAAGAAAGGGGACGGTTGGGAAGAAGATGAGATGTTATAGGCCTGGGAATGAGAGAAGAGGCCAACGCCGCTATAATCGAGGCAGATTTGGTCGGAGAGGTGAGGGTACTCTGTTTCTCTGATGAGATCAGCCTGCAGCATGGTTTCAAAGTAGTACGGGAAAGCTGAAGAGAAGATTGAGAACGCTTCCTGTAAGGAAGGGAGCGATTCGTGGTTGGTGAATTCGGAGTTTGGGAAAAGAGCGGAAACGGCGGAGATGGCGAAATTGGACCGCGAAGAGCGGGTTGTTGTGTTAGCTCCACCGCCGTCGCCGCCGGTCTTGTGATGCGAAATACAGCACGCAGAGGTGCAGCAGGCCTCCATGGCTCGGCAGCCACAGGGCGAAGACATCTCAAGACCAAAAAAAATTTCTGCTTTTCTTACGATTTGGTCTTTGATGCAGCTTTATTAGCAGAAAATCTGATTTTGGATGGCCAGAGGAAGAGAGTATTTGTGGACCGCAGGAAAAATTGTTATCAAGGCGGAGAAAAATATGCATTGTATTTAAAAAAAATTAAAATTATTTTAAGAGATTATTTTATTTTAAATTTTATAAAATAGCGTAAGCAATCTCACCGTCGTATATGGCCAAATGTGATCGTTTAGAGATCTTACTAATTTTGCTATTCAAATGGTTATTTATGCTTTTCCTTCATAATCGTTGAAGAAAAAATAACACTTTTGACTCTGTACAAGCAGCCCAGAGAGGCACAGAAGTGTTCATACGGTTTATGCAAAGTGGGTGAGAATATTGGACTGCAATTTATGCATTAATTATTGAGAGCTTTATAGCTTTCTTTTGAGCAATGTTACCTGCTCTTTTTATTTTTGAGATGCAATATGGCTGTAGCAGTCCCTTCAAAAATTACATATCCTATATTTCTCTCTTTGTAATTGAGATCATTGAGGATAATATCGGCATCTCACTGGGTGAATCGCTATAAAAAGTGAATATAGTCATATGACAATCATGTTGAATTCAAATTTATCAGTGACGGGAGTTGGATTGAGTGAGCAAGAATGGAGAGTGTAGAAAGAGGGAGAGAGTAGAAAAAGCAGAGAAGAAGATAAGAGATCTCAAGCTGGAAGAAACTCCACGGTTAGGAAAAACTCTAGGGTCCAAGAGTCAAAATTTCCCCAATCCAAAGGTCTCATAATTGTTCCTCATCACCATTTATCTTTAAAGTTATGAGGGTTACAAGAAAGGCTTTAGAGAGAAAAATTTTAGTAGAAATACATGCTATGCAAAATACCAAGGTTCTTAAAATCAAATCGGACCGACTGGTTCAACCGGTTGAACCGTGAACCGGCCGGCCAATTCGGGCTCATTAGAGATCTGGAAAAGCACAAAACAGATATAAAATTGATCGGCCCGGTGATCGGATTGCAAAATCGACGAACCGACGCAGGTTTTCAAAATTGTTAGGTTTGGCTTATCAGAAGAAATTAGCAAATAAAAACATAATATTCTTAATCGAGCTCCTATTCCTATCCCGTATCCCACCGCCTGCTCTCGCGTTCGATTCAAACATCTTGAGTGGTCAGCATCCCTCTTCATTCATTCACCAACTCGGTGAGAGCTAAGCTTACAAAGGCATTATTCCTCTCCGACATCACATTCCTTTCTTCTATTTGCTTCAAATCCCTAGCTCTCCCTCTGTCCTCTCTCTCTCTCTCTCTCTCTCTCCAAGGGATAAGACTAATTTTCTTCCTTTTATCTTCACATTATATTTTAAAAACTCCAAATTTTAATTTATAGGAGATTTATGTAATTAAAATCAATAAATTACATTAGAAAATAATTATAATATTTAAATTTAAATCAAGTAGCTTAAAATATAATAATAAAATGCAATTTTTTAATATATTTATTTCTCATTGTAAAATATTTTTTTGTTATATTTTATTTAAATTAGATATGAAATTATACGGTAGAAGAGTAGTTGACATAGATTAGTATGATAATATATAATTTATATAAATTTATGTTGAAATTAATTTAGATGAGTATGACAATAAGTTTTTTTTCATTATCACAAAATTTATCTTTTTAAAATTTAAAATAATAATAAAAAATAAAACAATAATATAAATTTCAAGTTAAAATGAAAAAACTTAAGGATATTTTAAAGTCAAAATTTTGTGCCCCGCAGATAAAAAATCATGGCTTCGCCACTGACATGGAATGTAAGTTTTTTAAACCCTTAATTTTTCTAGGTTTTATGTTTGGTAATTTTTTTGAATGTTTGAGTTGAAAAGTTTTTAGTATGAGCTTTTTGTATGTTCGATTTGGGGTTTGGTATTAGGATTTGATTTTATTTGCAAAAACCCTGATGAAGGGAATGCTGAAGTTGAAAGTAAGTAAATTATGCCTATTGATTTAACTCTTTATGCAAATTTTAACAAAGTTATTTCTACCAATTAAAGAAAAAATTATTTTGTATTTTATTCTTTGTTAATTTTATATTGTTTTTGTACGAGCTTTTTGTATTTTTGTATTTTTATTTATTTATTTATTTATTTGCATTGTACGATCTTTTGTATTGAGCTTTTTATATTTTTTAACAAGTTAGTGTAGTTGAAATTGAATGAAATTCATTAGAGATATAATCTTGTTATGTGAAATATTAGTGTTGTTTTATTGGTTGTATAATAAATTTCAGTATTTATTTTTTATATTTGATTGAAAATATAAAAGTTGGAACACTTAACCCATTGAAAAGCAAATTATAAAAGAAAGAGGAGTCAACTCTTCATTTAGCTTTAAAGATAAAATACATTCACCAAAATTTTCATTCGAGAGAGCCACCTAATCTTACATAATAAAATACTATTTCAATAGAAATTTCATACAAAGTGTAATGATAAGAGTGCTTACATAGTATTCATCCTTAATTTGATGTCAGTCTAAATAAGGGGTTGAGTTCATAATTTCTTCTTTCCCTTTATTTTAGTATATTTTGCTCTTTTTAATTGAAAAGTAATATAATTGATTAACATTTTCTTTTATTTTAGTGATTTAGAATGGATCCTCCAAATAGTCAATATGTATCTTCTACTCATTGCATGCGAGAGAAATTAAATTTTGCTTGGAATCATTTTCGTGAGCCTAGAACAACTAATGGAAAGAAACAATTTAAGTGTCTTCATTGTGAGATTGTTTATGTCACGATCCAACCCGATCGGGATGGATCCCATCGTGTTGAGTCGCGATGGATAACCCAAGGATCTAATTTTGGAATTTGTTTTCAGACTTTCTTCCAATATTCTTTCACAATACATAACCACAGAGCTACTAAAAACTTTCAAATATAGAAAACTCATCCACAAAATATTTCTTTCTTTCTTTCATCATCAAAATGATTATATACATTATAGTGCATGGCTATAAATAGAAAATACAGAGCAGAACAGAAAAATAGGCATGGCTGTACAAAAATCAAAAGTATAAAAATACCTAATCTCACATCAGATCCAGAATGGCTAGTCCAAAACCTCTTTTCCTTTCCCAGAACATGAAAACCATGAAGATAACCACAGTGAGCTAACAACTCAACAAGACTACACTAGCTGATCTAAATTCTCAGACACTCTCATTCCAAAATAATTCACATAAGCTTTAAAAACAGTTCATTTTAAATCAAATAATCACTGAACTGAAATCTCAAGACATAATACATAGCAAACCATTCTTTAATTTAGGTATTCGTACATAATTCAGAGAATCAAACAAAATTCAGATATTTTCATAGAAATCATATCATCAGACAGAGTTCAGAATATCGTACATAAATCAAATAATCAGACGGAATCAAATAACATATACAGAAGAACTGAACCAAATTTATATAACAGAATTGTTCAAATCACACACATTTCAAATCACATATCAAATCACATATTAATTCATATTTCCCTAACCCAAACAGAATCTCAAAAGATTCTGGCCCCTTATGCCTCCCTTCCTTGACACAAATAGAATGTCAAAGAATTCTGGCCCATTATGCCTCCCTTTGTGCTCACAGCACCAAAACATATCAGATATACAGAGTTGATATACAGAGTTATCAGATTAGAATTCATTTTCATATTCCCAGACACAGATAAAATTTCAAAGGATTTTGGCCCCTTATGCCTCCTGTAATATCAAAATCTGCTCAAGGATCGTCCAGGACGATCTGGATCGTCCTGGGACGATCAGTTGTAATTTTGCTCCAGAATGTGCCCAGTTTTGCTCCAGGTGATTTTCTGTACATATCGTCCAGGCCGATTTGGACATCGTCCAGGACGATTGACATTGTAGAAAATATCGGCCTGCGAATAGTTCTGGGAACCGTCCAGGACGATCCAAAATGGTCTGATCGTCCTGGGACGATTTGGCGATCGGCCGGGCCGATCTGTGTATTATAAAGCTGATTTCAGTCGTTTTGAAGAGAGAGAAAAATCAAAAATAAAAATAAAAATATCTGAGGAGAGAGAAAGTCGAGAGAAATTTGGGAAAAGTTGATTTTCGG